AGTTTGTTACTTGTTTAATGTTGAAGACGGTTTTTTGTTGACAGTAGTAGATAAGGAAATTTGTGCAATACCTACACTAAACTAAAACACGTTAAAAATGAGGGACGCAAAATAATAATTAAAAAACAGAGCTGCTTAGGCATCATAATTTAATATTACCATTATAAAATAGTATTAAAATAAAAAATAAAAAAAAACAAATTTTATCTCACGTTGAAGTTGAAACTAAAAGCAAGTTTCTTGAGCATATTGTAAAAGTACGACAATACAAAGTTTCGATGTAAGAAAAGAAATGTAAAAAATTTAAAGCAACTTTCTGCTTCTGGCGGGAACGAGAATTGTGCACTTAAAAACTTTAACGTTTTTAATTTCAGAGTCAACGTTTCATATATTGCCTTCTAGGAAATTCTCTACAGGGATTATTCTTCTTCCTAAACTTTGCTTTGGGGGGAAATATACCTGTGGGAGGTATTGAGGATATCTGTACTAATATGTTAAAGCTGAAGAGTTCCTTCGTTTGAATTACTGGTTTGAATTGAAAAAAATATTTTTGTGTTGGTTGGACCTTTTATCGAGACCCCAAACTATAAAATATCATTCAACTAATAAAAGCGAAGAAAATGGAATATGTGGAAAAAAATAGGAAATTTATTCATCTTTGAGTGTGTTGCGTGCGTTGAAATGATATAAAGTTGTCTGCGACTGTATATGTCTATCTTGTAATATTAACTCACAAGAACAACGGGACTCGAACGATGTCGCGAGTAACAACTAGTTATAAATAAACCCGTAAACGAAAAGTCCCGTACTATTGGTATTTCAGTTAATAAAAACAACACGGATCGCTGTTGTCGATTCAAGTTTTTCACGTATAAACACAAAAGCTTTACTTTTTTGAAAACTCTCAAAAAATAAAGGTTACTTTGTCCAGAAGTAATTTATTTTGTAATAAATAATACAGGGTACCATTTGAATAAGGCAGATAAGTCGAGGGTTATTTAATTTCTCAAAGTAATATTTCACACAGACTCATTACTCCGTCATGGTGGTGCGCACTTATTTCGGTGCTTTGTTCCAAGTTTTTGTTAATTCAGTCACGTTGCTTTCTCGCTTTTAAAATCGTTTCATTTGAAATTTGTCCGCGATCTTTTGTCGTGTATTTCTGGACTTTTGCGCTCAGCTCGAGAAGCGCTGTAGTCGAATTCTCCCAGCTCTCTCTGTCAGACCTCAGCGTTTAACATGTACTATCTAAATAGATGAAAACAATATCACATAATAATATCTCAAATGACTTTGATAACGTTTAATTAATATATCGCGTTTTAAACCGTTAAAGTGTTTTATTTAAATGTGTACTACTCGCGTAAAATATAGACAGTATCTAACTCAATTAAACATTATTCGTTTTGAATGTTCTTTTCGTAAAACTTAGAAACTTCTAAGTTCCGTCCTCTATAACTTGCTATGAAACGTGTTTTACGATTTTTATTTTTCATATAAAAAGTCGTAATTTCAACCCAAACAATGATAGACAATACGTGGGCTGAACAAATTATTTAAAAAACATTTGATGGTTTAAACCCTGACTTGAAACATAAAATTCGCCTACGGCTAGTAATAAATGTACCTAAGATCCTTGTACAAACTTTTGGATACATTATAAATTTGTTTGAATGGTCGAAATATTACAGTTAGCGTAGCAGATTTTATTTTGAGCACCCTCCAACTAGTATCCCCGTGACCACGACTGATACCATTCAAAGGTTGGGCCGTAATTAAAATTAATTAAAAAACGTTAACTTATATTTTGTGTTTTAAATCGTTTTTTTGCTACTGTCTGTAGTTTACACGATTAGTACTCATTTAAATATAACACTTTAACGGTTTGAAAGCGATATATATTCGTTTAGACCTATTTAAAAACGTTACTGTAATAACGGCCCGACGTTTCGGATGCTTTACAGCGGTGTTTCGGGTGTCTCCAGGTGACCACTGCTTAATTTTATTAATTTTAAACCGCATTTTAAACCATTAAACTGTTTTATTTAAACTTTAGTTTGCTCCTAAGCTTTGCTTTTACATACTTTATAGTTTTATGGTACATAATATTATCTGTTTAATTCTAATCCGCAAACCGTCATTTAAACAAGGAAACAAAAGTCCAGGCGTCGTATTTCAGTTTATTTAAACTCGTAAGTGCAAGATGAATGCACTCAAAGCATTGCATATCATAACTCGCAGAGTCAACCGTGACAAAATTATCCCTCGCTTTTAACAAGGCAAAATGCGTTTTAATGCCAAGGTCATAGAGTTGAAAATCGCGGGCTCTGTTGCATTTCATAATTAGAGAGGTTTCAGTTCGGAATGAAATTATTTACCCTTTCGCCGTGTACTTTGAGGCTCTGTTATTCGGTCGTCAACCCGCTGAATTGAATTCGAGTTTTCTTTAATTAAGGGCTCAGTTTTACCGCAGGTTAAGACTGCGTTTAGTGATGTTTATTTATTCGTCGACATATCTACTTTCCCCTTGAAGTGAAATACCCACGCGATAGTACAATCGCACTTTACGCTCCTACTCCGCTGCCTGTTCGAATACCGGATAAGTTATTTTTCAACTATGAATCAAAATAATTTGGTAAACAAGATTATAATTATATAAAACTATTTTTGTCTGATTATGTACTTCGTCAAAACATCTGAAAGTTATGACGTCCTAAATGATATCTTTGAGATGTCGAGTCCAACATATTTGAAAAAAAACCAGAGGTTAAACTCGCCTGTACTTTATAATAATAGCAGTGATGTGTATAAATATAGACCTATTTACATAAAGCCATATCATACAGACGTATACAGACAGAATGAATCAGACAATCTCCACATATTTGAGTTTGTATCAGGCATCAAAAGAGCACTTAACACATGAATAGCCTTGGGGCGTATGAATCCCGTTCCCTGTTAGACAAAAGCAGCATTAAGGAAACAATAGCGCCCACGGCCGTGCTCATAACCGTATTTGAAATAATATGTGATTTTTCTAGAGCGTGTTCAAAGAAAATAGTTCAGTGAAAATACAAATAGAAAAATAATAACAAGAATAAATTCAAAGAAACTACATACTGACCTAATACTACATTGTAAGGTTTGAACCGCACAATCTGTCCGTGTGTATGTGAAGCAAGGGCCGCAGGCAGTGAACAGGGACACATATATTTCTGTGTCTTCTTTGATCGCTCGTTAATTCAATAACTGAACTGAACTGTTCAGTTTTTCGGGGATTCCGATCCGTGATCCTAGAGGCTGTGCGAACTATACTAGTGCATTTTATAGGTATAGTTATAGCCATGAAAAAGTCTTGTCACTCTACCCTGTCATGCATCACAATAGGCATTATTTGTATGTTAACAAAAGCTAGCTTCAAGACATTTAAATAAAACACTTTAAAGATTTAAAGCGGGATATATTTTATTAGTTAAACTTATTTGAAAATAATTTTAACTCCGGCCCGATGTTTCACCGTGACCACGGCTACGGCAAAGCATCGGGAACGTCGGGGCGTAGGTAAAAAAGTTTTCAAATAAGTGTTACTAATATACATCGCTTTAAACCGTTAAAGTGTTTTATTTAAATGTGTACTAATCGCGTAAACTACAGACAGTATTTAGCTTTAAGACATTAATTGTACAAAATTTAGAAAAGACCTCCGATGGGAACTAGGGACACTATGTTTTATTTAACATTTTACTCTTGTAAAAAATAAGATAAGAAATTAAAAGTCTATTTCGTTATCAATTCAAAGAGGTTTTTATTTAGTACATGTATACATAACATTTTTGAGCAATAAAAATGTAAAGCTTAAATCCAGTCCACATTACGGCAATATTTTCCTTTGTCCCCTAACTATCGCATAAAAGTAAATGCGTTTACATTGTAATGTTAACGACGAAAATCTTCCGAATATGCGTTAGTTTTGGCTCCAATGTGCCCCCCGGGTACATTCTCTTTGACCGCTTCACCTCGGCTTTTTGCCCAATTTCCTAGTAAATGTGGATTTGTAATTTGTGAATACTGCTTTTACAATAGCAGTATAGTTTGATATTCATTTATTCTTAGACTGGTTTACATATTTACAAGCTTAGAATTTCTGATTCCTGTTTTTCTAGTAGTTTATACAATGATAAGAATGTTCTTAAAAAGTAATTAACCTAATGAAAATATAAGATCTCTTCTAAGGAAATTGTTAGTGTTTTGTAACTAAAAACAATTGACAAATAAATTTGTAACAATGTATATCATTCAAATATAATTCAACACGTAACAAAATGTATTCGGGTCTCCAAAAAACGTCCTATTTTAACTGCCCTAGCTGTCCCAGTTCAGGCATTTTTTGTAGTGCAGTAGATAAATTCGGTCGGCGGTGTCGTGTCGCCAAAGTTTCCGACACGTCGTAAATCTCGCTGACGGATCATTTGTCCTCTACAGTGTACACTTTGCGAAAAAATCGAGCTTGTTAGTACGGGGCGTGCTCCGGTCACGGTTTTACATAGCGCGAGACGAGGACAACTTCCGATTTATGATACTCGTTTATTTTAATTAATGGATACGTTGGTTTCCTAATTTAAATATCGTTCCATTTTTAAAATCAAATAACAATTGGTAAACTAGTTATGACGTCATAATCGTAAAGGCGTTGTAGAATGCCAACATTGAAAACGACAAAATGACATTTACAGTTTTCAGAATACTAAGTTGTACGTTCCTGTCTGGGTGTTTGCACATCAATGGCATAAGATATTTAGTGTTGGAGATTACACGCCATTGGCATTAGATTTAAGAGAACTCTATATGACCACTAACTAACTAAGAAACCAGGATTTTTTTAAATAAATGAAAATAGCCTAATCTTAAACTAAAAATATGATATCGTTTTTTTAATATCTCTTATTAAACGTGGCTTATATAAATGTTTTATCAATGAGAATTTGTAAGGGCATCAATCGCTAAGCTGTAAATGTATACAAGTAGAAGCAGGAATGGATACAAAGGTATCCAGTGTTGAGACGCTTCGTGTCTCCTGGCGAGACATATCCTAACGATGCCCTTTGATCGTTGACCCGTTCAGATACGTACAGAAAGCGATGGAGTATATTAACGAATACTAGAGATATCTTCCTAAATCGTACCCTAAAAGAAAATCATGAAAAGAGGTGAAAGAACAATATTAATGCGTGTTACTTTCAGAATTAGTTTTATCAAAATTAGTCAAGCTATTAGCGTGTCTGACTTAAATCTGACGGGTAGACGAGATATATTTGAGTTCAATTATCATTTTTTATTTAGTTGGTAAGTTATCTATAACGTCTGAATCTTGAATTCGAACTCTGTGATATCGTCTAAAATACAATGCTTGGCTACTTGTTTACTACTTTGCACAACGTAGGCGGTAACTAGATTTAGCTTAAAAAACAATTCGCAAAACAAAGTAAACAAATAAAACGACGTTCCTTTGTTTATTTTGGCTTTCTTTTACAAAGTTATCCTGCTTTTATATCGGAAGCTGTGGTCCAACAAAAAATATTTTCGTAAAGTTCAAAAGCATGGAAATGTTTTCTTTTAAACCCTGTAAAGTATTATACCTTTTCATGAATTTCTTTAAATATTATTAGACAGAAAATTTGGGATTTATGAAACATTTTAAACAAAATGTAAATATGAAAATATAAATACAACGCGTATTCAGTAATCAGGACGTATTCAATAAGTTTGCTAATTTTTATGTGAAATTAAAAATAGTCATCTTTTCTCATATTATAAAGCTGAGATTTATTTGTGTGAACGCCCTAATCTGGGAAGGCACTAGTTCGAATTGAAATTATTTTCGTGTTGGTTAGAGCATTTATCGAGATAGGCTTGAGACTATATTATATCACGCTGTGACTTATAGGAGCGAAAAAAATGTGGAAAAAACGGGGAAAATTACTCACCTTTAAGGATTCCCGTTGCTGCGCGTGCGCTGCAAAAACGGTTCAAGATACCAAAAAAATATAGCAAATAATAATTTCTCTTTAAATGATATAAAAAAATGTCCGCGGCAGTATATGTTTATCTTTTAATTTTAGTTTATCGATTATCTTGCAAGAACGACGGCACGCGGACGACGTCGTAGGTAACAGCTAGTTTAACAAATATGTACCGAAATAAATGGAATCTACTTAGGTTAAACTTAATAAACAAGTTGCTAAGTTTATCCAATCAACTATGAATTACAGCCAAAACATCGTAAGACAATTTGGTGCCCTTTCGCGTCGCGTGCCCAAATTTTAACGAGAAAATTAATCCTGAAATTTATGTCGAAAGTTAAGCGTCCAGCTTACAAGGGCATTTTGTTTTTATATTAGAACCCCGGGCTTACGTCCGAGATGGGACGGGCCTTAATAAGGAAGAAAAAAGATTGGTATTTATAAATCTTTTATACTTGTTGGGTAGTGGTAACAAACTTTGTTATAGATGCGTCCCAGGTTTTGCCAACCGAACAAAGTGTAATTGTTATCTTAAATCCATTTTTTAAGACAGATATTTTATCTTTACTATGCCTATACTTTGTGAAAATCAAACACAAGTGTGTCCGTTTAAAAAAAACTTGTTTCGCACGGGTATGCTAAAATACTTCGACTCACCTTATATTTAATTACATAGAAGTAACGTTTGAAAACTTTAATATTTTGTGCGCATGATGGCACTATCTAAATTAAAAATAGCTACAGTAGCTCAATCGGTTAGAGCAACAGCACGGTACACTGTAAACGCCGGTTCAAGTCATGCCCGAGTCGTAATTTTTTTTTCAATTTATACCTAGAAGTAGGTAATAAAATGTTTTATGTAAGGAAAATACATAATAGGTCATAGATAGACTACAACTATTTGTTTAACACCGTCTGCTATAGTGGCAATGTGTTAACCGATGTTTTTTTATTTCATCGTTCCATTAAAAACAAATAATGTCAAATTACCAAACTTAGCTCGCTCTTCGCAACGAAAGCGCAGTGAAAATCTCGCGAAGAAATAATTCATTTGAGACAGTTGCAGCGCTTAGTTGGAACGAAGTGTCTCATCAGACTGAATTGAAGAGACTCGAAGCCAATTTTTCGGTCTCACCTCGCGAATATTTTGTTTGAGAATTCTGTATGAATCTCGGAGGTTCTCGAATCTCGAGGTGGGTCCAAAGAGTGCTCGTCAAATTGCATCATGTCACAGGGAATTCTTAATGATATTCACATTGACAATGCACTAGAGTACTTTGAAGTATTCACGTAAAACTATCTATGATACATTTAACGAGATTAGACGCATTTATTATTTAAATGTTCGAAATAATAGTGCAGCTATTTCATGACATACAATAAAAAAACTGTAACGCGTTGCATTGTGTATAATTATAATCGAACGACCTGTGTCAGTTCATGTTAAAAGATAGACATACACATAGTCTTCTGGACATTTTTAGATCATTTAAAGAGGAACCATTCTTTCATACATACTTTTTGGGTATCTTGAACCGCTTTCGCAGCGTAGGCATCGGAAACCTACAAAGATGAATAATTTCCCCCGTTTTTGCCACATTCCTCGCTGTGTCTTCGCTTCGTCACAGCGATCGTCGATAAATGTTCCAACTAACGAAACAGATTTTTTTCAATCACAACCATTTTTCAAACAAACAAACTCTTCAGATTTATATATTAGTATAGATCAGCTTATTAGAGTTGATTTATAACAGATATTTTTTAAGATAGAGGGCAGACAAGCATAGACACCATATTGAGGGAGTTAAGGAAACATATGTAATCCGCCATTTTGTATCGGCGGCCATCTTGGATTTATATTGTTTTATTATATTGTATTGTCATCTAAATTAAATATGTGTACAAATTTCAGATCAATCTGCCAGCGGGTGCTTAAATTTAAATTCCTAATTTTGACCCAAATAAATAAATTCCGTACGGGTCGAGCTAAAAAAAAAACCGTATTAAAAGCCGTGAACCTTAATCATGTTTCGGTTTCGGCCTGTGGATTTCCGAATATAAGCCAAAATAGATCGACAGCACATCTTGTTTAGATGCTATAGGCTAGGGTATATCACCTACCATCAAGTGAGCCCCGTGCCTTGTCTGTCCTTCTCTATCATTAAAAAAAGGCTGGTAAAACAACCCATTGTAAGAATACCTTTCAAAAACACAAATATTTTTGTTAGAGACAAGTTGATAGTTCGATTACTAGTAACGAAGCTATGATTTCCCGGTGGTATTACGTTTCACTGAACGTTCAAACCTTTCTCGTATATTACTTCTATATTGAACTTAACAGGCTCTTGATATTTTGCAAACCATATTTGAATTCAATAAACTGTATAGAAGGGGTGGCGTCAAATAATGACTTCGAGAAATTGTTGGTGACTTATCTCTTAATATTAGAACGGTTACAGACAATTATTTAAAACGTCATAATTTTGGAGGCTTATATAAGTTCAAACTAAGCGAAAAGAGAGAATGAGGGCCCGATGTTCTTTGTTAACCGGACCCCTTATCTACCGTAGAGCTCCGCTACTGATTACAATTAAAAACGTAAGGACAAAAAAACTATACGTAAAATATAATATGAAAAATCAATCACAAAAACGACTTGACTTCAACTTTGTTTAAAAGCCTCATTCCATTTTGATACGAAAATATAAATTTACAGTCTCATAAAACCGTCTCGTTCAACAAGTGCCTACAATTAAAAGCACGACGAAATTAAATTAATTGGAAAAAAACAAATTGAATCGGCAGGAAAGTCGCAGCCTGTTTGCTGAAAGATTAATATTAAATTTAAAATCAATTATGAATTGAAAATTCCAGTTCCGTTCATTCTATCTGCGTAATGCGGTTATACAAATTGTTTCCTCCATTCCGCTTCTGTAATAATCGTCTGTACGGCATAATCTTATGAAAATATTCAAACGGATTTTCCCCTTGACTTGTTGATTTTTCATCTACGACTTACGAGAGACTGTAATGAAAAACAGTTTAACAGCTATAATGTGGTACTAAGTCGGTAAACTATACAAGTGTTGCAACAATAGAATGATCATGTCCTACTGTATTGAACGAAGTTTTTTTTCATTTTCTATTACTACGATTAGGTTTTTCAGATAGAAGGGAACTGACAAGCACGGCGTTCACTCGATGGTTGAAATACCCCAGCCACATAACATCTAAACGAGAGGGTTTTGACCTATTTTGGCTTTGGATATGACAAAAAAAAATTCAAATTCAAGTCATGTTATTTAATTTAAAAATCTAAAATAAATTAAGAATCATTTCGACTCGGGCAAGACTTGACCGGCATCGTCAGCGTTCCGTGCTGTTGCTCTACCAATTGAGCTACCGAGTCCTACACCTCATCGTCGAATTTTTTCAAGTTATTGACACATGTACCTCTCGCGCAATGTCATGTTTCAATTCATGAAATTTAATTTTAATATTATTATTATTGCTTATTGCTGTTTTATTATTTAAAATAAGTTTTCTAACTTATCTCTATAAGATTAACTTAAACTATATAAAATATTATTGCTCAGTTTTAATGCCTGTTTTATGGGAAACCGCGTGTCTTTTTCAAAGACCTCCTCTAAAATTCATGCTTACTACTCTATACTCTTCTATCCATCTTGAGTCAGCCACTTTTTCTTAACGTTTAACCTGGATGACGTCGTGGATTCCTTTTTCCTCCATTTCTTATGAAACTTCATTAAAAAAAATGCACATGAACATAGGTATAACTATTTCTAGGTAAGACAAACAACTTCTCTTCTGCTCCTTACTATCAGAATCAGAATCTACTACGAAACTAATCAGAATATTTCGTCTCTTCTTAAAAACTGTGTGATCAAGCAGAACATTAACATTATAAATGAAGTGAAGGCACTGTAATCTGCCTTCGCACGCCTCCGTGCGAATTTCTGCCTCAAATATGCACTGGAGCCTTAAATATTCGGTGCTGTAACCCCCCGGCTACCCCCAAACATCCCCACGGGGTGGCAGCAATTACCTTTCCTAAGGTTTTTTTGTGACGTCAGCTGAAGCCTTCCGTTATTCGTATCTCTTTCCGTTTAGTCGGAAGTTAAAAATTAGCTCGCTCCCGTGAACGAACGGAAACATTATAATACTGTAAGGCATTTTTTGAAATCGAAATAGTTAAATATGTATCCTTATAAAACAGGCGATTTTTTTGTTAATGATGATGATAATAAATTTAAAATCGATTATAATTAACATCGCCCAATGAATACTGTCTTCTACGACTTCCATCATAAAAACCGACAGGTCAAATTAATACAAGAGGTCCTGGGTTCGAATTCTAGAGAAACACTATACATAATTAACAATTAAATACTGCCTGTAGTTTTAGCAAGTAATAGGTACCTACACATTTAAATACGGCTGCTGTACTAAAATAATTTTTAAATAAGATTAACTAATATAAATCGCGTTTTAAACCGTTAACATTTAAATAATACATTTAATAATAGCTTTAGTCACTCTTGCCTATAAAATCAATCAGTGATCAGACACAGAAATGTGTTTAAAAACTACCTTCACTCACCCTCCATGTGATACGTGAATAAGACACGTCTATCTTACGAGTTAGCTACTCTAAACTACTGACAATCTTGTAAAGTTGTGAACTCATCTCACTTTATCAAAAGTGTTAAGTTTTAAAGTACTTAACTACCCAAAGTTTACGTTGTAACTATATAAAGAGTTAACTTTATATTAAAGGATAAAAATACAAACATTCTTTAATAATCATTGAAACATAAAAATAAAAAAGTAATAAGTGCGTTACCTAGAATAGATATTGCCTACTTCAGTATATGTTTTTAATATTGTCTGGAAATATTACAAATATATCAAAAAATCACTAAAGTATAGCTTTATACGCAAGAGATCTTTGGTTCCAATTCCAGACTAACAATAGATTGTTTCGGCCGGACAAGAAACATAATCTGATATAACTAATTTTCTGTAAAACAACCGATCAATGAAATAGAACAGAAAGAAATACGTTCGCCCTATGCACTATATTTTATATAAAAAATATCGCAATAATGTATAACTACCCAATAACTTCAAACTCTTTAACGAGTAGTCAACGACCGGACTAATCTAGTTTTTATTTCGTACTGGAGCATCTAAAGCTTTAATGATAGTTAGAAAAGGACAGACAGATAGACAGTGATTAAAATAATCAATCGTTCAAATTGCAGGCAAGTCCTGGAGAATGGTACGCTGGTGTTCCTGCCCTTTCCAGCTGTACATTACAGACAAGATGTCCACAGCACGGTCTACAGGTGTCGTGCGCACAACGCCCATGGCGTCATCATCTCTAGGGATATGCGCACACAAGCAGGTGAGATGTAGAAAAATATATATGTCCGATCTATATCTAGGAAATCAAATCAAATAAAAATTCATTTATTCGTGTAGGTAGCTTAGTACACTTATGGACGTCAAAACAGTTAAAAATTAAAAACTCTAAATTTACAGTTACTACCAGGAAGCTAGGTATAGCAGCTCTTGTAGCAATAAAGAGTAGTAAACAGGCGTTAAAGACAGGTGTAGAAGTATTATACTATGCTAAATTAGATATCAATTAAAAATTTACGACATGCGCAGGACTTGAACCGCAATCTGCAACTTTCCGTGATGTTGCTCTAACCAATTGAGCTATCGTGTCATACAGGTCATCCTTGATTATTTCAGCTTATTGATACATGCACCTCTCGCGCAATGTAACTTCAATTTGAAACGCTGTGGATGCTGATTTGAGTCATACTCGTGTGGTTATTTTTTTCAACTTATAATCATCATTCATGTGCAAAATATTAAAGTTTCCAAACAATGATATGTTTTTAAACTGTTCGACGAAGAGAAAAGCTTTTTTTCTAAAACTTAGATTAGTAACTTAAGTGCTATAACGCACTCTCGACTAGTCGCCGGCGACTGAGGCTACTGTAAGTTACTATGGTTTAAATGGCTGTTTACGCACTGGTTCGTCGGTCGCCCAAGCAACTCGGCGACTCACCGCGTAGTAGCGATACGCACTTTGGTCGCCGAGAGACTGAGTCGCCGGCGACTGGTTGGCAGTGCGTAATGGCTCTAAAACCGTTACTATCTTTATGTATAGCGTACATAAATCGTATATTCCC